TATTAAGGCATAAACACATTAAAAGAAGAAGAAAAATTCCACCATAAATCAATAATTTCAATATTTAAATTTTTTTTTTTTTTTTTTTATTATTTTAATGGAATTTACAACTGTATTACATAGAGAATACAATAAGTAAATGAGAAATTTGTAACATGGCATGTACAACATGAAGAGAAACTACCCATTGGTAGAACTCAAATTAAAGTTCTATATTAGAAGATCCCGAGGCCATCTTCTTTTCAGACGCCTCGGAGGGTTATCAGGGATTGAGGAGGAAGCAAGGTTTGAAACGAGAGGATTCGGATGGTTCTGCAGTTTCTTATGGAAGGAAAGGTATCTGGATTGGGCCAGATCGGAAACATATGGAACATTAAGGTCTTTATGGATGATTTTATTTGTGACAAAGTAAGGAGCGTTGAGGATTTTACGAAGGATTTTGGATTGTAAAGATTGGATACGAGAGGAATTCGATGGTTTAGTGGAGCCCCAAAGCTCAATTCCGTAAGTCCAAATAGGTCTTATTATTGTCATATATACGAGTCGTTTATAATTGATTGAAAGCTTAGATCGTTTGTCTAGTAAGTGCTGCAGTAGTCGAAAACGTCGGGCGGTTTCTAGTCGTTTCAGTCTGGTATGGGGGTTCCAAGTGAGTCGTTTGTCAAGGTGGAGTCCTAAGTAGCGGATTTGCTCAACAGGAATAAGTGGAGTATTATTGAAGGATACTGTAGGACAAGAGGTCATAGGTTTACGACGGAGGGTAAAGGTGATTTGATGGGATTTGTTGGAATTTATTTTTATTCTCCAATTTTTACACCATTCTTCAAGGCTTGTGATATGTGATTGAAGAGTTTGGGATGCAATTAAAGGATCGTTATTAACTGATAGGATACACCTGTCATCGGCATAGGTGGTGATGACAGTGTTGGATTGGGTTGGGATGTCAGCTGTATAAACTGTGTAAAGGATAGGACCTAGGATACTACCTTGAGGAACACCGGCAGACTGAGTAAAAAGAGATGAATAAGCATTGTTATGATTGACTTTGAAGTATCTGTCAATATTTAAATTTAATATATTTATAATATCTTAATAATTGTTTTTGAACTCCTAATGAAACTTTCCGAATAGCGACAAGAGAGCTTTAGCTTCATTTATTTATGTCTTTTACGAATTCACTGCAAAAATAAACATTTTTTTCAGATGAGAACTTTTTTTTTTAATTAAAAATATATATATATATTTTTTATTGGGCCTGAAACCGCTCTGAGTTCTAAATAATCTAGACACCCCCTTGATAGAATCCAATCATTTAGTTAAAAAAAAAGTCTTGATATCGTATAACATACATCATCATATATAAATCATACTTACATTGTCCTTATAAATCTTGATCTTCATGTATTTCACCATTTTTATTATTTTTCTTTATTTATTTACATGCTTGTGCTATTTTTATGGCATAAACATTTTAGTCTGTGTATTTTTTCTTCTTCACTCTTAATACTTACATCATATTGTCGATACAAATGCTAACTATCGAATCTAAAAATCACCACTCTAATATTATTATAAATTCAGCTATATAAGAAAGCTATAACATAAGAAATATTCAATTTAAGTAATTAAGAATTAGTTCACTGTAAACAAGACAAAGTTCACTTCAAATTGATATACAGTTTGTCATTATTAAAACCATTTTAAGAGGACTTTTGGGCGGTTAAGCTAAGCTAATTTCTGTTTAAAAAAAAATCATTAAGTATTTGCAATTTCATTTTATTATACAACTATACTACAGATATGCCAATATCACAAAAAAATTGTTATTTGATAAGCTTTAAGTCCATATTAATTAAGTCGAGATCAGAAAAAAATTTGAGATTCATCTCCTATTATGAAAAGAAATTATATAATTTTTTCTATCCAGTCACCTAAAATTCCCAGTGTTTTCAACAAAAATGACAACCAATAATTGTTGGAAAGCTTTTATTTCTTGTTTTCCATGATGTGGGATGTATTGTGATAAACATATGTGCCTAAATACACTTCTTTGTTTTTGGCAATAAAAACTTCCAAGTATACAAACAATTAGTTTATTTGTTGAAATATAATTAAGTTGACATTTCAGGAAAATTATTCCCAACTTCAAAACTTAAGTCATACTTTTAATTAATAATTAATGGCAGAATTCAAATTGAAACTGATATCTGGAAAGGTAGAACAATAGATGTATAATATACCATTGGTAACCAAAGAATTTTAGAAAATTTGATTATTGTAAATGTCTTGTTTTGTTGAAGGAATAATGAATTTCATGGAATTTTTTTTTTTAATTTGGCTTGATAAAATTGATACCAATAATCCTTAATTATTAATCACTCTGCTCTTACCTTTATTATATCATGTATAACTTTCTAATTAAGAATTAGTCTAAGATTGCATTTAATTCTTCTTATAAATTAATTTCAAACTACTTATAAGTTCGATATTTGAAATATTTCATATCAACAGGGGAAGAGATAAAAAAGTTTAAAGAAAAAACTTTATTATAAGGTTTACATTAACATATTTAAAACAAAAAATTCTGAAGCTACATAAACATTTAGGAGTGATGGAAATAAGTATATAAGGTTTTACAATAAAAACTTAATTGTAGATAAGGGATTACAGAATATCTAAACTACTTAGGCCCCATTCCGGCAGATTGAAATTTGGAGACCCCCGAGTCTGAGCTGATGTTACCCTTATAAGCCTGAGCATTGGCGGCTGTGGTATCTTTTCCGACCCCGACTGTACCTATGCCAATTCCTCTGGCAACTTCCCGTTGTGCCTCTCTTGGAGCATTTTTGTATTGTTGGCCGAGCCTTTCAACATACTGATGATCCTTCTTGTTAGACATCTATAAAAAAAAAAAGTTGAATATCATATTAATTTTTTTATTAATCTTAACCTAAAAATGACAATGTTACACTCATATAATAGTCTGGAAAATTGTTCTGTAATAACCAAATATTTAATAAGTTATTTTTAAATTTCAACCCCAACTTATTAGAAATGAGCTGGCAGAAATTGATAACTTGTAACTGAGTTTTAATATTTATTGATGTAATATCAGGATTTTTTTACCATTGACAATTTTTTTTCAACTTAATTAAAAGAGTAGCTTCCGGTACCCATGCACCACATTTATCTGTTACTATTTTTTCTATTTATAATCATAGAAAAATAGAACAGTGTTATACTGAACATTATTAAATGTTTGTGGAAGTTTAAACAAATTTATGGATGTGGTTTGATATATGGTAAGGAGTTCCAAAAGGAGTTAGCACATAAATTAAGAATTTGCTGAAGGAATTGGTTCTATGGGAGTGAATATATCAGATCTATAGATAGAGATCTGGTATTAAGAGAGTGGATAGAGGAACTAATATCAGGAGTTCTAGAATGTAGGGAAGTTTTTGGTTTCAAGTAATTAAAACCAAAATACCATGATGGAGCTGCTATTGTTAATAATTAATGTAACAATTGAAAAGTAGTAGGATAGTATGTTGTTATAAATAAATATTTATAAATTCCTAACATTTAACATCCATAACACTTTAGACTCAAAATGTTTTTAATCAAATGTAACCTTAATTATAATTATTAATAAATAAACAAACAAAACATAAGAAAATGTGAATACTACACCTTTGCAAGATAAATAGTGCTTGGACAATGAAGTGCAGCAGAGCTCTGTTGAATGCAGAATAATCCAGCCCAGCTGGTACAGGGGGTTTATATAGTTTCAGTCATGTTTCATGGGAATCACATAGAATTTGAGGGGAATCACAGGAAATAAACCACTATAATTCTGTTATTTACATAAATAAATATGATGCTTAAATATGATTTTGAACCAGTTATTTATTTTGATATTAAATAAAGTCTTTTAAAATAAATATAATATGTATTATATTTTGTCCGGAATAATTTTCATAATTATTATTTGGTATGATAATTCACAAATCAGTACCAGTATAATCCATGGGGGTGAGTTTCCTAATTGGTCTCTGTAAAAATTCAGTACCGGCCTCAGGGCAGGACAATCCGATCTAAAGTGAAAGCGTATGAAAATAACTAATTTTAGCCCATTAATAAAGCAACTGAATTAGAAACATATTGAATGAAATAAAATTCAAATATTACTTAATTAAGAAATATATTTAATTTTTTTGAGAAGATGGAGGTCCTTACTCAGGGGTAAAGTAAAGTCTAAACTCCTTAGCTTTTATTAATATACATCCTGCAAAGGCACAGACTTTCCATTCTAATTGTGAAGGGGGGGGGAGGAGGGATAGATCCTCCTCTCCCATTCAAAAAATTTTTCCTGGGTTATGAATAATATGTAATATACGGGTAGGAAGGCCGAGGACGAGATGGTTGGACAACGTGGCCTATGATGCGAGAACCATGCTTGGTGTACGGAACTGGAGAGCTGCAGCAGAAGACAGAGCCAACTGGCGGAGGCTCTTGGAGGAGGCCCAGTCTCGGTAACGGGATGTGGTGCCACACATGATGATGATGATGATGAATAATATGTATAAAAATTATGTATACAAAATTAATTATAATATTTTGTGTGAAAAATATGTATGATAATGAACATAACTATTGTAAAACGAACAATATAATACTATATACATATATATATATATATATATATATATATATATATATATATATATATATATATTGTAAGGTTACGTTCCCTTCGAAAAGTAAACAAACCAGTTTGTGAATAAAATTATATTTATTTTATACAATAATTAATTCTCAGGTTGGGTTGAGACAACTAACACACATGCTCAATTATATAATACTAAGGTATACATTAATTTTATAGCACATTTATGAATTTCCATTTTTTGTCGGGGTCTAATCTTGGTGCGCTTTCGATCTGTCCATTTATATTTCACTCACCCTGTTCTGCAGTGAATCTTCCTTGGTATTGTATCCAATTTCTACAAATTTCTTTTGTTGGCACTCATTACTTGTTCTATCATTTTCTTCTCACTGATCCTCTTTACTAGCCGGCTAGCTACCTTCTGCCCTAACATATGGAACTCTTCCCCCACCATCTGTCATTCTTTGTCCATTTTTGGCACTAGTTCGTGACATCACTACCTTCGTGCCACTATTCAAAATCACTATGTAATATTTACATTACAATTTATATATAGGTTTTTATTTTGTATGGTTGTATTTGAAAATATGTTAAGAAAGTAGTTGATTATGTTATCTAATTTATTTTTATTTAAAAGTTCGAGGTAGTGAGATGAATTCTCAATTCACCTACATGTAGGAGAGTGCATATGAATAAATCATAAAATCTTAGGATCTATGACTACTAGGGGCTTGTGGGGCTTGATGTAAAAAGGGATCAAAGTCAAAAGATGTAAAAATATTGGTGTTGATCTTAAACACCATATAGATAGTTTATTTTTTTCTTCCGAAGTAATTATCCTAATGTATATATACAACAAAAAAATCTTTCGAACTGAAGCCTCCCCCTTCCTAAAAAAAAAATCCGTTAGTGTAATGAGATATTATTTATAATTTATATTTCATATTATATATAAATCTCGCTTTGTTTTCACTTCTATCGTGTGGTCTAAATCATACGTCTTACATCATACATCTAATGTTACTGTACTAATAATATTTTTACCCATCATCATCATAGTCCATCCTCTTGAACTGCATTAAGCAGTGCGAGGAGGAAGTCTACAGAGCCTTCTCCAGCTCTGCCAGTCTTCCACAAGAAGCCTTCTATCATTCCGTTGAAGATCTCTTCTCTGGAAGTCGCTCTTTACCCATCTTCCCATTTCCTTCTAGGCCGTCCTCTTCCTCTCTTGCCGTCCACTTTATATTGATAGGTTTCGCTAGCAATTCTGTTTGGTTCCATCCGCAGAAGATGTCCTAGCCATCTCAGGAACTTTTTCTGGAGTGTAGAAGTTTTTCTGAAAGTGTGGTATCATCAGTCCAGTTGAGATTTTTTTTTTTTAATCAGGAAGAGTCCGAACTTACCGTAGTTTAACTGTTTCAAAAGTCCCCTTTAAACAGTTTTAAAATATACAAGATTTACTTGTATTTATTTTAAATTTAATCTAATTTACTATGAAGTAATTGGTTGTAACCTAAATTAAACATTTTTTTAGTTATTGTTTTTTATTCTACATAAAACGTGGTTAGCTTAAAAATTACAAAAAAAATTTACAAAATTGGTGTTCACATCACACAACTTTATAGCCAATACAAAATATTATGTGTAACAATTAATGTTTTTCACAATCGTCTAAATTATTTACTTTTTTTTTTGTACTAACAATTTCCTTCCATTTACGATTGTCCTTTTTAATTATTATAATAAATAATTAAATGCCATGCAATATTTTTAGTCTCTCAAGAGTACCACTGATAAAGAAGTTCACTACATTTATTAATATTTCATTTGTTTAAGCTCCGTTATTTGTACAAATTTTAATTTATATATTGCTGCAATATCGCACCTTTATATGCAATAATAATAAAGTTGGTACCCATGATTTATTAAACATGGAAGCCAATTCTAACTCATTAAAGCTCAATTCTTGGCTCATTATTTCTCCTTTAATTAATTATCATTTTTTTTATATTTTATATTTAACCTTTTTTTATATCAGATTACAATGTAAAGTGGTTAATTATTTAATTATACAAAAGCTACATTATATTAATAACAACTTGTTTCTACACTGATGTACTGAATTTAACAAAAATTGTTAGAGCCGTTTTCATACAAAGTTGCACTTCCTGTTAGCCATTTTTAATCTATTAAAAATTTGTCCAATTGTGGCTTGTATATTTTTCTTATCTTTGTATATTCAAATCCAGTCAACATTGGTTTGGAAGTTAAGTGATTGACCATTATTACCGAGCAACTGGTTGATAGAACACGTAGGTATAACTCTTCATAACAAAGTAGGTTGACAAATTCCCAAATTTCTTTTTGGGATCAGAACTGTACTTTACTGATTTTTTTTTTCCAAAAAAGGATTTACACACCTTTGCCTCTAGTGTTCTCAGATCGTGAATACAAAAGCAAACTATCGAATATGCAAAATTGCCATTTTTTTCAATCCTGCATTCTAGATATTGTATTGTAATTAAATATTTTTAATGAGGGAATACAAAATCTTCAAACATTTATAAAATTAGATATTAGTGTGGAAATTAAAACATCCTCCTTGTTTGGGCTGAATTGATAATGATATTAGAGTGCTGATTTTCAGTTTTGATAGTTTGCAATTGTATCGACAATATTGTGTATGTATTAAGATTAAAGAAGAAAAATACACAAACTAAAATGTAGATGCTATAAGCATAGCACAAATATGTAAATAAATAAAGAAAAGTAATAAAAATGGTGAAATACACAAAGTTCAAGATTAAGTCGGATTTATATATGATGGTGTATCAAGAAATGATCTAATTATATTCAGAACCCATGCAAAGCCAAGATGTGGAGATGATCACAATTAACTGTAGAAATGTGATAATTTGCTCAAATACCAATTCTTGGACCATGGAAGGGGAGGGGAGAGAGGGGGAGGGTCCGAACTAACTGACAGATGAGGTGCTAAACTCAATGAGTTTATTGCTAGGGACCAGATAGTCGATGTAAATGAAACCCCTGCCGCTCCTACGTTCTCTGGGGGGTGAGAGCTGGATTGACATCACGCTGGCCTCGTCGATACTCTTAGGGCATATTGGCGATTGGACTCTCTGGACTGAAACAATTTCAGACCACAAAGTGCCACATTTGGTCTAGTCAGGGATTCAAGAGGTTCCCACAATATCGGAACAAAAATGTTATGTGACCTATATGTCCCCTCTCAGAAATGAGCAAGGTCCAGGATAATCTCATTTTAATCAATTACCCACAACAATACAATATTACCAAGAGACAGGGAACCGCTGATGCAAGGATGGTGAGGTGGTCATCTACTTAGGTATAAGGTTTGGAAGAGGTTTTAACGTGACCAGTCACCTGGAATACTTGCAAAATAGATTAATGTAATGAGGGCCAGAATGTTGAGAAAAACCAACTCTATGCCCACGAGAAGGAGTTTTCTTAACTAATGATGGAGCAGAACTATCCGTATTGCAAAAATTATGTTTACTAGTGGAAATCTCATCAGGGCCTGGCACACTTCTATCTAGAAAGAAGAGACCCCCTCTCGGAAGGCCAGGATTTCACATATAATTTCTTCTCCTTTGGTATATCCTAAATGTAGAGGGCATTGCGTAACAATCCATCCACCACCAATCTCTGAAAGAATTTTAAAAGATTTTTTTTTTTAGTTATCTTTAAGATATCTTACAGATGACCATTTCTAGATGACTTTTTATAAGTGGCTAAAAGATGTTTTAAACCAGACGTCTTAAAAATGTTTTGAATCAGATATGTAATTGCGATATTTTTCACGATGGAAAGTGGATAGCATTGGGTAGCTCGAAATAATCATATGGTATAATATACATTCATTACCTTAGCTCAAGTTTTATATAAAAGTTGAAATGTTATAAATCCCATTCGAATGGAAAAAAAAAAGAAAATTGATATTTTCTATGAGTAGGGATTGAAGAAATTTGAAAATAGGTATCGTTTGAAAAGTAGGTTAAAAATAGAAGAAGTTGTCACTTCTCGATCATGATATGTGAGTACATTTTAAGATTTTTATATTAATCTTGCATAATAAATTGTGAAGTTCAATTTTT